TCACCCGGGACCAGGGGCAGGTGTTTCCTTGAGGTCGGTAGACTACTCTAAGGAGAAGTCTCTCTCCTCACTCTGGCCCACCCAATGCCTGCCCCTGCTGAGGCCTTAGAAGGCTTGGGGCAGCTGCCCCCAGTCTGGCCCACACCTTCCCTCGGCTCCTCTCACTGCCCTACAATGGGAGGACCCCTACAAGGCGACTAGTGTGGCTTGGGCTCTTCCCCAGGTCCTCATGGCTTCCCACTTGAAGGCCTTGGCTGACATCTCTGACATACTCCACCTCGTATGGGCACATTATTTCCACTGGGGGCTCTGGGCTGAAGAGCAGCGTTTGGGTGTTTCTGGATTTCAACACCACCTTGCTCTCATCCCAACATGGAGGTTTAAGATCTGTGGACCAGGTTAACAAGATCAGGGTAAAACACAAGCAGATGTTGGCACAGAAACAGAGATGGCCAAATAGTTGATGACAAAGGAGCTTGGGGATAAAGCCAGCTTGCTTTGCCAAGTGAAGGAGTATAACTCTTCGCAGTACAATATTCATTTCACATCTACACACCTAAACAGTCTAATTAGAAAAAATAAATATCTTAGAGCTAGAATCACTGAGACAAGATAAAATATTTTTAAAGATCAAGACGGTGAGAATTCCTTCAGCAGTCTGTGACCCCCTTTCTGAGCAGGAAGAGGTGAGAGATGGGCAGGAATCAGCCAAGTCTCGGGTCACAGAGTCTCCTGAGCAGGACTCTAGGGAAACTGTCCAGACCATGTCATCCTGGACCGGCCATTCTGCCTCTCAGGAACTCCGCAACCTTGTGCGTAAAGTGAGAGATGAGACTGTGATCTAGCTGGAAGGCTGTGGTTCTGGACCACTGTGGCCCACATGGTCCTGGGAAACGTTCAGAAACACAGGCGGTGGGGGGGGGGGGGCTCTCTTCAGGGTGGGGCCCTGGGACCTGCACTTGTAAAAAGCTTCCTTGGAGAGGGAGTGATGATATTGTCAGGGTCACGATAAATGTGGTGGCATCTTCAATGACAGCGAGTGTGTGAAGAAAATGATGGGGGGGGAATGTTGTATAAATTACAAGAGATTTGAGAGATCGGTCGATGGATTAAAAATTATAAGCCTTACTTGGATTCTGATTAGAAGAAATAAACCAATCCAAACCAGCAAGAGCACTATCACCTCCATATACAAGACAACTGGGGAAATCTGAACAATGACTGGAGTCTGGATGATTGAGAAGTTACTGTTATTTTTTAAATGCTGTCACCATAATGTGATTATATATTAAGAATCTTAATCTCTAAGTGTATACTAAAATAGTTAGAGATAAAATTCTGATGTCAGGAACTTGCTTTACAGAACACAGCCTGTAGGGGGAGCAGTGCGGGCGCGGGGGGAGGGCGCGGGTGGTCACAGCTGAAAGCTGCCTAACAGCACAGGGATTTCATTATATTCCCCTGCCTGCTTCTGCACAGGACTGAAATTTTCTGTAACAAACATTTCAAAATATAAAGTGGATACTTTTAATTAATGCCAATAAAAAAATCTTAATGTGGTGAAACCCTAACAACTCCTTGCCCTCCCTCTGCAGAACAGGACAGAAACGGCCGAGTGTGAGCTAATGTCTTCTCAACTCTGTAATTTTCACAAAGCACCCGGAGAAGAGGGCTTTTTATTAAGCAGCACAGAGCAAGGTGCATGAGGATTATACAACAGTTTCCACCAGGGAAATTCCCTCTCTGTTCCCTGCTCTGAGCTTCCTGGCATTTGTCGGGGAGCCTCCTATAGGCTGAATCAGGAGGAACATCAGGGATGCAGGGCTGAGAGGCAGAAGCACACAGCTGTGTCATGCTATGGAAATTTCTGGTAGGATTTAGATTCACAGCCCCACACGCTCACGCCTGTGCTGGATCATGGGCTCCTAACACACCCCAAGGGCAGCCTGGAGAAGTCCAATACTCCACTGTCTGCACTTCGCTATTTGCCCTTAAAATTAAATGCGTACAACACTCTCCTTGTTTAACTTCCCACACTTTTTAATAAATAATGTTCTAAAGTCGCTGATGCTGGTTAGAAACAAAACACCATTTTCAGGTCTCGTGACTTTAGGAGTTAATCTTCTGTCTCAAAGCTTATTTTACCCATTTTCTAAATATGGTGATTGCTTGGTTTTGAGTGGAGTAATGGCTAATGGTTATCCCAAAGCACTTAATGTATAGTATCAAGTTACCCAGCTGCCGCGAAGTCCAACAATTTCCTGAAAACCTTAATTTTTAACCCAAATAATAGGTCCTCAATAGTCCAGGGCTTTGGTTCTATAAGAAGGTGGCAGCAAAAGGGGGTGCGCTGGATTCAAAGCCCAGTTCTGTTCCTCTCACTGCTGGATACAACGATGGCTGAAATATCCCACAAAAGTAAAAGATAAAGGATTCATTTAAAAAAAAAACATCTCTAAGAATGAAGGGTATTCAAAAAGTTAAAAAAAAAAAAAATGAAGGTAGTCAAAAGTTACAATCTTCCAGTTACAAAATAAGTCCTGGGGCCATCATGTACAGCATGAGAGAATTAGTTAAGAGTACAGTATCGCCCATTTGGATAAAGTGCTAAGTGAGTAGATCTTAAAAGTTCTCATCACCAAAAAAAAAATTGTTAACTATGTGTGGAGATGGATGTTCACTAGACTCCCTGTGGCGATCACTCTGCAAAGGTGGAATCACTCCGTTGTACATCTGAAACTCACATGCTATATGTCAACGACTATAGCAAAAACTAAAAACTCAAAAACTAAAGCAAAAAACCAAACACCTCCAGATGGGCAGTCTGGTTCCAATTTAGCAATCTGTTGTGGTGTGTTGATCAGTAAAAGCTTCTTAACCCACTGTTCAATATTCGAGGATCCCTGCACACAACCAATCACATCCCCACCAGGACCAGCGGGCATCTTACTGAGAGGCAAGGGTCCGAACGTGACCATGAGAAGTGAACGGTTCACAAAGTCATTTCCCCAGGCCCCTAACAATTCGATCGGCTCAAGTGAATGACTGGGACGCACTCGACGCCTACAACCTACTGCTTCGAAGACCACGGGCCAGGTGGCTTTGGAGGCATCGACATGAACGACCGAGCAGCCCCCGAGCACCACCCCACTGGGCCATCTCCGGGGTCCGTCAACATACTTGGCCGTCCGGACCTCCAAGGTGCCTTTGAGCTTCTCCTCGCTGTCATTTTCAAAGTACATCAGCTTGGACTGGCGGAGGACAAACCAGCGCTTCTTCCAGTTCCTCCTGGACAGCGTGGAGGAGCCCCCACCTTTTTTGTGGAGCCAGCCTTGCTTGAGGGCCTCCTGCTTGGAGCGGAACCACAGGAAGGTTTCATCCTTGAGGACGCACCAGCGGCGTTTCCAGGAGTTCATTAAGCCACCTGTTCCCCCAAGATAGGGTAGGGAGGGGTTTGAGAAAAGTCAATCACACTGCATGACGACATCAGTGGAGCGTCTCAAGGTTCAGCCTATCCTCCACTTTGCCCAACCGCCGTGCCCCCAGACACCTCCCGACAAAGCATGGTGCCTGCCGGCTTGTGTTCAGGGGGCGGTGGGCGACACTACACTAGCTTGGCTGGATTACACAGCAATGCTGTCCCTTCCTTATTCCCAAAGCAGCTCCCACTCAGCTGAGAAATCTTGGTGAGGTGCTGGCAGAAACACAACTCATGAGCTGACACTCTAACCCTGGGATGAGTCGAGATGGGGCGCAAACCATCTCCGAACAAATGGATCATGCTTATCTCCAAATGCCCCAGAGAGGAGAAATTAGTTTAAAATGGTGTCAAAGTTTACACACATTCCTTCTTCCTTATTTGGTCAATGGGGGGGGCGGGTGGAGAGGGAGAGGGGTACAAGACTTAAAACTTCCATAGGAAAATAAAACAGGGCTTTTTTGGATAAACACTTTTCAAAGAAAAGTATCATCATCTGAAAATCGTTTATATGTAAAAAGTGTAGATTTAGGACATGAAACAAGAATTAGCCATAATTTATTTAGTAGAAAACGTTTTCAGTAAGAGAAGTAAAACAAGGATATACATATATCTTTTACAAGATAAAAATATTCCTAAGGAGGCACCTAGCTGGCTCAGTCGGAAGAGCATGTGACACTTGATCTTGGGGTTGTCTGAGCCCCACATTGGGTGTACAGATTACTTAAAAATGAAACCTTTAAAAGAAACTTCTAATATTTTTCCAGCAGAATAATTTTATCTTAGTATTCTAGATTTCCCAAGGACGGTCAAAGATGACATCTTAACCACCATCAATCAAAAAATCTCTTAAGGAATCCACTGAAGGATACTGAATCTACTTCAGTAATTTATTATAAAGAGACGAGTTACATTTTTTGATCAGCCAGTCTTAAAAATAAGGCACAGGTGAACACAGATCCTGAAAGAATAAAGAAAATGCTTTCTTTTCCAGATTGGAGGTGGCTTGAACACAGACCTTCTCAGATTACTTTCTTCAACGATTGCTTCAGTGAGCACAGAACTAAACCTCACAGTGAAACAGATGAGGTAATGGCTACATTACTTGGGGTCTGGCGTGCAAGGCACTTGCTTTCGTTGGACACACCGATGCCTTTTCTTTCTTTGGGGGGGAGAGAGAGAGTGCGTGCACGAGCAGGGGGAGAGGGAGAAGCGGACTCCCCACTGAGCAGGGAACCGACATGGGGCTCGATCCCAGGACCCTGAGATCATGACCTGAGCCAAAGGCAGGAGCTTTACCGACTGAGCCCCCCAGGCACTGCCCCCCTCCCCCCATGCCCCTTCTTAAACCTAAAGCACTGTGTGCTCGCTTGGCTGAGAAGTCCGGGACCACGCCACGCTCCAGGGCGGTTTCCTAACAAACCACAAACTCGCCAAGGGATACCAGAATCAAACTTCTTCTTTCTGATTTGTGGCTTTAATCTGGGTTTCTCAAAGCAAGCCCAGAGGAAACTGTAGTACAAAGTTATTCTATGATCTTATTGTCTTCAGGTGATAAAGGTTAATGACGTTGTAGGAGGACAGATGGGGACTACGGCTTCTAGTGGTGAGCACTGAGCAAGGTGTGCAAGTGCTAATTCATTATGTCGTACACTTGAAACTAAGATAATACTGTATGTTAGTTAATACTTTGATTAAAAAATGTTTTTAAACGATAAAGGTTATTCACAGTTGTTCTGAAGACACAGATTATACCCGTTATCACCACAGCCATCACCTCGAGTTTATTCACTCTATTGGTCTTATGCTAAGGATGGGACTCACTCCCAGCAGTCCCTCTCCAATTCTGGGTGCTCTCTCAATACTTCATCATTTGGAGAATTCGATCAATGCTATTAATTTCGTAACGGCAAACCCTTTATGGAGACTATTAGGCTGGTGCAAACGCATTTATGCTCAAAATATAATCTGGTGGTTAGATTTTCTTTATCATTGGTTTCTCTCAAACGTTTGGTCACAACTTTATAAATACTTTATTAAAGATTAAATGATGATTGTCAAAGATTAGAAGGTGATGCATTTATATGACAACTTCTTTTATTAAGAGGAGTATGCCAAAAATTCACTTGTTTACCTTCTTGGGCTCTTCATGCTTTAATCTTAAGATTTTAATGCTTTGAGTAGATCTTTACTTTTTCTAATCTTATTTAATTAATTATGTAATAAATCCAAATGCCATAGAAGAGTGACTTATAGGGAATTCTAAAGCTAACTTAGGGAACTAGAATTAACTAGGGGTGGGGGAAATATATACTACAAATAAAAAGCTTATATTTATCCTCAGAAATGAATGACAAAAATCTTAAAATGCTCTGATTTCATACTTCTTAGATTAACTTCTGATTTGTGACTAAATTTTTTTCTTTTATTGAGTATTCTAGTGAACACTTGATTACTCAGTTCAAAATTTTCAATCTTTTTCATTCTAGCACACCTATAAAAATTTCCACCAACCAATGACTTCAGGCAATAGGAAGATCCCCTGTAAACTAAACCTAGCGAGGTTTCCATGAGCACTTTGGGGCTCTGGGGTTGAGAACAGCAGACCTTTGAAAAGCCAGTGACTGATACTCGTAGCTAGACTGATGTTGAAGATGGCGGGGTGGGGGGTGGGGGGGGTGCAGAAGCAGCAAAAAAAAAAAAAAATCAAATGAAAATAAAAATGTAAGTGAAGAACAGGAAAACTATTAAGGCGGAGAAGTAATATGAAAAAAGATAAATATGCCAGTAGGAAGGAGAAGCAAAGGCAAAGAACAGAAGAAACAGGGAAAGGGAACACAGAATAAAAATTTTTTCATGGAGGGAAACAGAAGGTAGGAGAGATGGCAGTGGAAAAGAAAGTGAGGAAGAGTCAGGAAGACCTGCTGACAGAGAAATGGGGAAGGGAAAGGAAAGGACGGGTGGCAGAGTGAAGGGCATCATCAGCGGGATGATGGTTTTGGTTACCCCAGCCCATCCCCCAGATCTGGACCTGGTTCCTCATGTAGCCTGGAGCTGTGAGAGAAACCAGACAGACCCTTCTTTCAGGGATCCATGTGAAACTCCGACCAAAACCTGGTGAGGACTGTGGCTTCTCATGATCCCTGTCACAGATTTAGAAGTCAGAGTTGAGGGGTGCCTGGGAGGCTCAGTCGGTTAAAGTGTCCAACTCTTGATTTCAGCTCAGGTCATGATTTCAGGGTCATGAGACTGAGCCCCGCATCAGGCTCCGTGCTGAGTGTGGAGCCTGCTTAAGATTCTCTCTCTCTCTCTGCCTCTCCCTCTGCTCCTCCCACCCGCACCCAAATAAAAAAACTTAAAAAATAAAATATAAAATATAAGTCAGAGTTGAGAACACGGAAGAGGCATGACCACAAGGGCCTAATTAAGTTCCTTTCCACAAGGAGTATGCTTTGAAGTCCTTAAGTATTAAGGGCCAATACAAGACATTCAAAATTTAACAGCGGTCAAAATATACAACCCAAATCCTTGTCATGAAGTGTGGGGTAGACAGCAGGTGTCATAAGCAGTCAAGGCAAGGTGCACCCCTGTCTCAGATCTTTACTTTTCTCCCACGTATAGGAAACCCTTCTAGGTTCTCTAACACTCCCGCGGGAGGGAAAGGTGCAGTGTATCATTATAACGGGCTACGCCAACTGCGGCAGAAGCGAGAGAGAGAAAGGAAAGGAAAAGTGTGTGGTGGCCGGGGCGTGGGAGATGTAGGAAGGAAGGAAAAGAGCACAGAAATGAGATGGGGTGGCGAGAGAGAGGAGACAGGGCCCGAAGACGGTGACGGTGGCTGCATCCTCTGGCCTAATGCCGTGAGAATCCAAGCAGCGTTCTTTGTGGTATGATCACGGCACCCCCAGCATCCCTCGTTCACCTCAGAGGACCTAACGCCAGGTGGGGGCCATGGAGAGTGATCTTCCTGGTCCCCCTCAATCAGCCTCCGTGAAAACAAAACCTCAGCGGTCCGTGGCTCTACCGCACCCCCCTCCCCAGGCGCCCTGGGGACACGGGTCCTACCTTTCATGTATAGAAAGCTGTGGAAGTAAGGCAGGGTGACACAGCTATACACCGAATCCCTCCGGTAAGAAAGTTCATCGTCTGTATCAAACCTAGAATCAAAGTCCTCTTCGCTGTCTTCAAACTGGACAAGAAGGAGAGAGCCAACGGTGAGCCAAACAGAAAAGTCAACAAAAATGCCCAGCATCTGTCAACATTGAAAAACAAAACAAAACCTGGCAGAAGCAACAGGAGGATTCATACCATTTACAACACAGGGTGGTCATCAAAAGAATTACAAAACACCGACCTGTAAGGTCAAATGATCTATCGAATTGATACGATGCGAGACATACTTTCATCCAAAGGCTGTTCTAAAAACACTGCTGTTCAAGGGTATAATTTTAATCAAACCATACAAAAGTTAATTCCCTTTAAATTACAATGATAAGAATACCTTCAAGCCTTAGAAAATCAAGGGGCTATTTAAGGCAGAGCCAATGGGAAAAAATAAAAGTCAACTATAAATAAACCCATATGCTAGAAAGAGCAGGTGTAAGCCATTAAGGAGCGCAGAACCAGGTAGAACATGCCGGGGAGTGGACCGTGAAGCCACCCGAAGGCTAGACCTTTCGCCCGTGTGCCCTTGGCCATTCTAGTTCTAATTTAGGGCGGGCTTTATTTCCCCACCTGCTGGGAGGCTATGACAGACACAGCTTGCGTTTCCATTATGCAATGCCAGTTTTCTTAGGCGAGTCTGGGCTCTGTGTTCAACCTACAGCAAGCACATCAAAGCTCCAGCTACTAACGCGACCGCTTTTGGCCAGAGAAAGGGGTGGAGGATCATCCTCAAGAGCCCGACTCTGAAACCTGGGCTCCCCCAGGGCGCGGGTCACAGACAAGGTCCACCCCCGCACCCCACCGCCCAGGCCCCCGCGGGCCATACTCACCGAGGACTGCGCCCCTTCCGAGCTGAAGCGGTACGCCCCGGAGCTGTTGTAGGTCCCCACGGAGCAGCGGTAGTCCGGGGACCACTGGCTGCCGTACGAGTTGGAGAAGGTCACGCTGCTGCCCGAGGTGATGGCCCCGTCCTCATAGTCGTCCTGGTCGTAGTCGTAGTCGCCGTCCGGGGAGGGGAGGAGGCCGAGGCCGCCGCCGCCGCCCCCCTGGGGCATGCAGTAGGCGGGCTCCCCGCTGGACGAGCCGTGCTCCGACGGGGCGAGGAGCACCGTGCTGTCCGCGCTGGGGCTCGTGGGCACCACCGTGTCGTTCATGTAGGGGTCCTCCTCCGACGACTCGTCGCTCGTGCGGATGCCGCTAGTTCGCTGGTCCGAGTGGCCGTGCTCGCTGGGGTTGGGCGAATCCTTGAAGGCGTCGTCGTCGGCCTCGAAGCCCTCGTCCACCTCCTCCTCCGGGTAGGGCTGGCTGAAGTTGAAGCTGGGCTTCTCGGCGCCCGCGCCCTCCGCCGGCCCCCCGAGCTCGGCCGAGAACTCGCTGCCCACCGACAGGGAGCGCTCGATGTTGCGGACGCACTCGTCGATCTCGTCGAAGTTGAGCGACTCCAGGAACTCCTGCGCCGCTCGGCACGCTTCGTCCTCCAGCCTCCTGAGCTCCTCGTCCCGCAGCTGCTGCAGCTTCTGCAACGACGCCTCGGTCAGGGACAGCTCCTGCCGCTCCTTCATGCGCTGCAGGTCCTCGATCTCTTTCTCCAGACGCAGGATCTCCTCCACCTGCTTGTTTTCCTTCTGCTTCTCCAGGTCACAGTGCAGTCCCGCTTCCCTCGGACTCTTCTGCAAGGCTTCCCGCTCCTGCTGCTTCCGGGCGGCTTCCTCCTGGGCAGAAGAGGAAGGAGGAGGTCAGCAAGAGTCACGCCAACCAGGACAAGCATTGCTCCTTCTCTGCAATAAAGAACCATGAGGAGCTGTGCTTTCTTTCTATGGGCTGAACTGTGTGCCCCCGCCACCAAATGGATGATGTTGAAGCCCTAATTTCCCCCTACCACAGAATGTGTATTTGGAGACAGGGCTCTGAAAGAAGTGATTGAGAATAAGGCCATGAGGGGGGCTGTAACCCCATCTGACCGGTGTCCTTACAGATGGAGGAGATCGGGGGACACACAGAGACACCAGGGATGCATGCATGCAAATGCAAGCCCACGGGAGGACCCAGTGAGAAGGTGGCCACGTGCAAGGTAAGGAGAGAGGCCTCGGCAGAAAGCAAACCTGCCGACACCTTCATCCTGGGGGGTCTAGCCTCCAGAACTGTGAAATAACAATTTGTTTAACCCACGCGGGCTGTGGTACTTTGTGATGGCAGTGCTAGCCAACTGATGCAGAGCTTACAGGGGTTTATAGAAATGATGCTTAAAACCTCAGACATTCACTAAGTTTTACTCAGTTGTAGCGGGTTGCGCATCATCAGCATCTCCTTTAAAACTCTTCTTCTTGTATCTTTATACTTTATTTTCGTTTTGAATCCTTACACCAAAGTGTTTGAGGTGGGAAGGAAAGGGGCAGATGAGATGGCACACGGTCAACAGCATTCTTTACCTGCTGGGCGAGGAGCTCAGCTTCTCTTCGTGCCCTCTCTCTTTCTCTAAAAATGTAAAGGAAAAAGATGGCGAAAATAACCAAAAGCAATGAAAAAAAAAAAAATCCCAGAAGCACGTTTCTGAGAGAGCACCACCTTTTTAAAAGATAACTTTGCTAAATACAATTTAAAAAGGATGAAGGATGGACCCTCTTCCTCTGGTCAGTTGGCTCATTCTGTGCATGAATAAAAATGCACAGAACTCGGTATTCAAGGCTGCCAAGGAATTTTATATCCAAGCCACCAGGAGGTAATGTTTCAAACAGAAGGTTCTGCAGCATCCACTGAGAATTCTTGCTGCAAGAATGGATATTGACCTTAAAACTTTCAAAAGGTGCCCTTCTGCTTCATCCGAGCAAGAAAGCTAGTGTATACCTCTCCTCTTCCTCCCGTTTCCTCTTCTCTTCCTCCTCCCGTTTCTCCGCCAGCAGGCGTCTGTAAATTCGCCGAGCAATCTGACCTCGGAGTCGCTTCTGGAAAACTATGGCTGCTTTCTTCAGGTGCAAAAATCTCCTCCTCAGAAGGAATGCTCTGTAATTCTTCTGTATGATCACTATGCAATACAGGACCTTTCTGTATTGCTTTCTGAAAATGGAAAACAAAACAGCACAACAGAATAGCTGTTGAGGTAATGAGGCTCCGAGCTCTTCAAATGAGTTTACATTAATGCTACAAGACAGAAGAAGAGGGCCAAGTTCTGAACGTCTCATTACAGGGACGGGAGCGAACAGGAGGAGGCCCCTTTGGACAAAACAAAACAGAAGGAAAACAAAAGAATAACAACAAACAAAACTAAAGCAAGAACCTTATCATTATCTTGGCTAAATAAGCCCATAACCCCTAATGCTGACTTTGAAGAGTCCTGGGAGAGGTTGGCTTGTAAACAGCTCCAAAAAAGATTTGATGTAGTCTCCCGTTCTCATGAGGGGGAAAGAAAAAGGCCACAGCAGGATGGTCTTCAGAAAATGGAATGGCGTGGGGTTTCACAGAGCAGGCAGGTCCGCAGAGATGGACAGAACTCTAGCGCACAAGGCAAGAAGCTGCCTCACTGGGCAAACACGGGGGTGGGGGTGGGGGGTTCTCTGTAGACCCGATGGGCCAACAGCCAAGTCAACAGCCAGGCTGCCTGGCTTCAATACACGACACAGAGGAACTGGGTAAACAACTTAAATATCTCGGCACTGTCCCCTCCTGTCATCGCTCTGATGGAGACAGCAGGAGGCCCCTTGCCTATGTTCACCCAAGTCAAGCCAACTGGGCATCTGGCATTGCTAGTTAGGAGCGCTACGCTGAGACTCCCCATAGCCTGGTCCTGACCTCCATCCAGGTCTGTTGTAAGTAAAAGCAAACAAGGGCTACCCCGCCTGGTGACACATACAGGGGGAGGCCTCCTCTTGCCACTTTATACTTTATGGCTTCTCCCCTCTGTGTGCTTCTTACCGTGCCAAGTAGCCCAAGACGTGGGCCCGGATCACCATGGCCGCCCTCGTAACTTCCTCCTCCCGTTGCTTCTCCAGTTTCTGCTCCAGGGATTCTCGAAGGAAGACCTGGCCGAGGGAAAGGGACACATCAGAAGCAAAGAACATGGCTGGTGAAAGGAGGTTCTCTCCAAGTCAGAGATATCTTTTGGAAGTCAGGCTTTCCTCTCTCTCCGTAAATTTGCTCCAAACACACAGCCATGTGTTCTAGAACAGTGCTTCTCCAACTCCCTGTGGTGAAGGGCTGCTTTGTTTTTTTAACTTTCCATCTGTCATGTACTAAGACATTCGAAAAATAGAGCAAATATATATTACTAGGAAAAAAAAGCAAAGATACAGAAAATAAAAGTCCCCCCCTTTTTTTGGTTATTAGATCCAACAGGCAAAGAGGACTATGAAGTTGCCATCAAAGTTTACACTCACTTAAGTGGGACAAATAGTTCATGGACCAGCACCAGTCCCACATGAAGTGTAAGTCACAAGAAACACAGAGAGACACTCTATGTTACAAAAGGAAAGAAGGAAAGGGAGGGAGGGGAAAAAAAAACCAAGAACTTTGCAAAATGTTACTTTACTAGCACATGGAAACTCTCTCTGCATGACTGTTAAGTGATTACGATCACGGTATCTTGGCCTCAAAAACTTTTAATGCACATTTAAAAGTTGACATTAAGACTGTAATTCTGGGGCGCCTGGGTGGCTCAGTTGGTTAAGCGACTGCCTTCGGCTCAGGTCATGATCCTGAAGTCCCAGGATCGAGTCCCATGTTGGGCTCCCTGCTCGGAGGGGAGTCTGCTTCTCCCTCTGACCCTTTCCCCTCTCATGCTCTCTCTCACTCTCTCTCTCTCTCCAATAAATAAACAAAATCTTAAAAAAAAAAAAAAAAGGCTGTAATTCTGAGGGCGCCTGGGTGGCTCAGTTGGTTAAGCGTCTGCTTTTGGCTCAGGTCATGATCCCAGGGTCCTAGGATCGAGTCCCACAGTGGTCTCCCTGCTCAGCACGGAGTCTGCTTCTCCCTCTCCCCACTGCACCCCCGCTCATGCTCTAATAAATAAAATCTTAAAAAAAAAAAAAAAAAGAATGTAATTCTGAAAACGGAGTTTGAAATTAGAATTGAACCATTTCTGCTCCATCTCCGTTTGACCCTCACAAGAATACCAGAATTGGGACAAAACAGATCATAGCTATTTGCTGGCCTATTTCTGGGAACAGGCACCTCAACCCTATGCTTATTAAATAAGGGAAGTATATGTGCTAATTGGCACTCTGTATCAGAATTCCCAGTATTTAAAAAGATGTGAAAACATTAAGACCCTCCCTTGATCAAGGTAGCTTTAAATTTTATAATTTCAGATTTACTGCCTGCATAAGAAATTCTGAACTATTTCCTAGAAGAATTAGTGCCAAATATTTTTATGCTTTTCTATTAACGGTCAGCCTGGAAGCATTTTGGTGGTGGTGGGCGGGAGGCTAAATGACACTCTCTCTCACTCATGATGTTTTGATTTATGCTCCTGTGAGTCATTCTGGCCTATAATGATGCATTATGTTTTCTTAATAGCACATTTTCCCAGACACTCTGCTCTGCCTCTTCCAAGACATTTGGGCAAAAAAAAAAAAGCGAATAAAGAATCCTACCACCATGTGACTCACAGAAGCTTTACCTACTCCTGCTCCGGGTTCCCGGGCACTTGCAAAACTCTACCACAAATCATTCTCCTAGAAAAGTTTTTCATACACCTCTCTTCCAATAATTGCAATTATATGCTCTATTGATGCATGAAGAGACTGCATCTTTGGCCAAAAAAAAAAAAAAAAAAGTAAAGGACAGAAGCTACAAGTATAAAGCTTCTTTATTTGATAATAAAAAGTTTTCAGAAATACGAATCTCTGAAGCAGTTTTCATCAAGACTAGACTTTCAAGAAGTATTTAAACCTCTTTGAGACTTTTTTCCAGCATTAAAGATCCTATTCTAATGCTGTTGCTCTGGGGAGTATTTAAAAGTACGAAAGTCAAATCTTGGGGAAGCACGATGGTGGTGGGGCTATAATGAAACAAAATGCCAGTTCTAATGAGCAACATATTTATTCCATGATCAAATAGAGAGCTTTATGAAGGGAAGAGTGTCTTTCACTTTCCTAGAAGTCTACAGAATGTCTTGGTTTGAATCAGAATCCGAGAAATACCTGCTTTAGTGTTAAGTTTCAGGCCCATCCCAAAGAGCTCTCTGCTCCACCTAGTACATTTACTTCCCCATCTTTCTCTAGATGCTCTTCCACTAACCCGAAGGGCAAACAAATAGAGCAGAACACTTTTAGAGGCCCGACTCAGCTTAAGAACATCCACCCTGAATTTATGCAAGGACACACAGAAAGCCACATCCGTTCTCCCAGCCCAGCAGCGGCCATATCCCCGTCCTCCTGGGACGCGGCCAAGATGGAGCCAGCACGACCCAGCTTCTGTGGATGCAAGTGCTGCCCTCAGCAGGTGCCACCAAGTGGCTCAGGAAAGGGCAGTGCCCACTTAAGGGACTGCCCTGCTGAGCTCGACTCAACATACAATATGAACAATTTCATCTGGCTTTTTTTCATCCTTATCCTAATAGTTCAAGAGCCCAAGGATTATTCCAGTAAAATGTCTTTATAAAAAAAATACCTCTTGCAGACTTTATTGCCATAGAACAGAGGGGAAAAGGTCTGGCAACAGAGTCCAGGTGGTCAGAAAAATGAAATGTGTCAGAGTCACAAGGCAGCAGGAAGAGTCAAAACGAGGTCACCCTCAACTCAACCTCACAGCGGGGACACACAGGGGAATGTTCTGGACGGGCTGTTCACCGGAGGTTCAGGCAGGACTCCTACCTGAGTCCCCAGCAGATATGAATTCTTGCCTTCCAAGTACTAAATGTGTTTTTATGTGAGCCAACTAATTTAGACCTGGTACCGTGTTTAATTTGCCGACTACAACACTGTCCACGTTTCCCTCCGTCACGTGTGATGGGAATTTCTTTACTAGAAGATCCAGATGTTCATTAGATTTCAAGGCTTTAAATACAAAGACCTTCTGGTAGCAACACTGACCAAAACACACACTAATGTATAATTAAGTCAAACAGTGGTCAAGGTCAAAGCTATTTAGTGGACACAATTCAAACGCTCTGATGTTTACATTTTCTTCCCAGTGTTTCTGTGAACCGTCAAGTTTCCATCCTACTTCTACCTCCAACTGGTCACCAATTAAAGTTTAACTCCTCTTTAAAGATGTCCTCATCCTGAATGCTTTCCTGAGCATTTCAATCCACAGCGAGGTCTCTCCTGGAGAAGCGGTGTCCTTATTCCTAGAGGAGATGATGCTGTGTGATTGACTGGTGGCACGTGGATGTCTTCTCTCCCGGGAACATAGTAACCTGAAGGGCAACGTCATTATATCTCTGTGTCCCCTGTGCTATGCCTGGTTCCAAGCCTTGCTTGGGCCTCATTTCCATAATGTAACTGTAACTGTACGTGAAGTTGGATTGGTTCTTGAGAGCTCAGAGAAGAGACCTGTATTGTCTGAGACATCACGATCTTTGCTGTCATTCCACTGTATAAGGCAGCGGGATAGGAGGAGGGTAGCCGTTGATAGAGAATGCAGTACCTTTTTGATTAAAAAGTCAGAGCAGGCTGATATTGTATTGTCAAGAGCTCCATTTGAGCCATCTTTAGAAAGTTTCCCCGGGGGGACTACATGAGTGATACCCTCGTTCCATCCCTTATAGTTTTCTAGCGCTTACCAGACATTGACTGAGCTCCTACTCTGTGCGCTATGTAGAAGAATGAACAATCAACTCTATGTTCTCTCCTGGGTGATTGTAGAGAAGTCACCAGGTAACACCAAGACGGCACGAGACCATGTTGAGTGTCACAACGGGACTGATGTAGATGGCAGAGGAGGGGGCTTGACTCAGTTTGGGGGTGTATTTTTCGTGCGGGGTGCAATGGAGAATGTCAAAAAGGATTCCTGTCCAAGTCCATGTCTAAGCTAAGACTGGAAGGATGAGTTAGATAAATAGGGGATGGAGGTGGGGGCCAGAGGGAGGAGAATTCCAGGCAGGAAGACCTATAAACCTGTGAGGACACATCCTGAGATGACCCCCCAGTGAGTTACACCCTGGTTTAATCCTGCAAGTGTGGGTGGAAACGGACTTCCTTCTAGCAAACGGAATATGGACAAGTGATGGGATGTCACTTCTGCGAATACATGAATTATAAGGACTCCGGCTGAGCTCTCCTGCTGGCCTTGAAGAAGTGAGCTGCCATGTTGTGGGATGGATCACATGGTAAGAAACTGCTGGGGCCTCCAGGAGCTCAGAGCGGTCCTGGGTGGCAGCCAGCAAGAAAACAGGGACCTCAGTCCTACAACTGCGAAGAACCAGATGCTGGCACCACATAAGCTTGGAAGAGGACCCCGAGCTCCAGAAGGGAATGCAGCCCCAGCTGACATTCTGACTGCAATTCGGGCGACCCCGACAGAGGTCCTAGGTAAGCCATGCCTGGAGCCCTGACCTATAATACCGTGAGGGAATTAAAACATGTGCTGTTAAAGCAACTACGTTAGTGGTAGCTTGTTACACAGCAACAGATAACTAATCAATACCTCTGCATGCCATCACTACCCTGTTGGATGTTTGTATCTTAAATCCCTGCCAGGGTGAAAGTGCTCAAGAGTAGAAGAGCATGGGCCGCCTGGGTGGTTCAGTCGGTTGAACATCTGACTCTTGATTTCAGCTCAGGTTGTGATCTCAGGGTCATGCGATCAAGATCGAGCCCCAAGCTCAGTGCGGAATCTGCTTGAGATGCTCTCTCCCTCTCTCTTTCTGCCCCTCCCCCCAACTCTCTTTCTTACTCTCTAAAATAAATAAATAAATCTTAAAAAAAAACTTAAGAGTGAAGAGTACGTCCATTATACACTTTCCCTTGCTGAATGTCCCCACATGATACGTCCATACTTGTCACTGATGTGATAATGGACAGAATGTTTGTGTCCTCTCCATTTCCCAGTGTGATGGGATTTGGACACGGGACCTCTAGGACGTAATTCGGTTTGGATGATGTCAGGAGGGCGGGGCGGGGGGGAGGGCATGATGGGATTAGTGCCCTCTAAGAAGAGGGAGAGAAGCCCGAGCTTGCTCTCCACCGCGTGAGGACCCTGCTCTCAGACTTCCAGCCTCCAGGACTGTGAGAAATAAATGTCTGTTCTTCAAGGCACCCAGTCGGTGGTATTTTGTTATAGTAGCCCAAATGGACTAAGACAGTGAGAGGGAGTCTTAAGCAGACTCCACAATCAGAGCTGGGCCCAACACGGGGCTCGATCATGACCCTGAGATCATGACCAGAGCCGAAATCCAGAGTTGGACGCTCAACTGACTGAGCCACCCAGGCGCCCCCTTTTCCCTTTTTTTAAAGAAATAAATTCTTTGGTTAAAAACAATGTAATATGAGTGGAAGCTTTAAAATATTTTTTGGATGCTGCATTGCTACTCAGAGGGCCAGGAGGATGAGGCATGAGGACCACCTCTTATGTTCGAGTACATCCAAACACTCAATGGTCAAGCCCCCCCAGCTGCCTGCATTTCTGTGCCAAGTCACATTTCTGTCTTTCCCGGGTGATGAGGCCCGGGAGCGGAGGGAAGAAACAAGAGTGAACAGCAAGTGAATATTTCGGCAGCTCCCTGCTACAAGCAGAAGAGGTCACACCACCAATTTTATGGCTAATTTTTGCTGTTGAGGCTAAACTGTCTGCCCCTCAGCTCCTGTCTGGAATAAAACGGATACAGACCTCATCTCAGCCACACCAGCATGTTCCAAAAATGACCTTCACTTGCTTTTCTAGACTGGATTTTGGTCAACCTACAAGATCTCGGACTATTGGCCGGTCTCTGGCACAACAAGTCCTGTGGGGCAGGGATAGCATTCAGCGTCCGGATCACGAACAGTTAGAAGGGTCTGGGCTCTCACTTCTCTGAAGCCAGAGGCTGCCCAGCACTTCGTGGCACTGAACTGCTCATCTGCCCAAATGTGCTGACTGCCTGCAGGAACGCGCACGCATACTCTGGGTCTGAGGTTTCAGAAAACAGAGCTCCTGACAAGTCAAGTACTTCAGATAAAATATTAACTTTTGTCTGGAGGACAAAAGACAACGGTGGGGATGGCACCATATTGTCCCCCAAGTTCAAAAATAATTCGTTAGCAATTGCACAGGATACCTGCCCTAACATCTCCCAGGAGTTCGATGGGATGAATGTTCTTTCTTCTTTTTTTTTTTTCTTTTAAAGATTTTATTTATTGATTTGAGAGAAAGAGAGAACGAGCGGGTGAGGAGGGGCAGAGGGAGAGGGAGAAGTGGGGAGCCCGATGCGGGGCTCGATCCCAGGACGCTGGGATCATGACCTGAGCCGAAGGGAGACGCTTCACCGGCTGAGCCACCCAGGCGCCCCACGGGATGAAGGTTCTTTCTCCGTATCTTTACCTTGGTCTTGCCCAGCTGCCACTGACTGTTGGAGGAGTCGTAGAGCTGCAGCAGGGCCGTGCACTTCCCCCGGATGTCCTCGGGCACAGCCACGTTCCGCATCAGCACTTTATACCTGCCGCATAAAGACGTCACCCGCGTCACCTTTTGCTACGACCCTCTTTTTCCCAGTGCCTCCGAAAAGAAGGAGGATCTATTCAGCCTGGCCTTGCCTTTTGTAGAAATCCTGAAAGGGTCTGCGGACTGCATACCCCGCCTTCCGGATCCTCACCGTCTCCAGCATCCCCGAGTATCGCAGCTGGTTTAGCACAACCGCCTGGTCAAACTGGTCTGGCATCTAGAACATGTGAAACGGTGAGAGGATAAAGTGAACGAGGCAATCCCCCCATTCTCTCTCTCTGTCTCACACACACACGTGCACACACGCGCACACACGTAACCCAGACAAAAATACAGAAGAGAAAGCAAACCCCATCCCCAGGGACCCATCACTTGGCTTCAACAACCATCACCCTGTGAATCCAGCACCATCCAGGAGCCCTTACTCCCTGCCCTTAAATTTTTCCGAAGTCCCAGACTTCACATCATCTCATTCGTAAATACAATCAATACCATTTCTCAGTATAACCACACCACCATTATCATGTCTTAAAAGATACCAATAATTCGCTGGTATTAATCTCCATGTTCAAATTTCTGTTTTAATGATCATAAACATAACTACCATTTTAAATACTGTTTTTCAAAGAACCTAGGAAGTGTCATCTGGATGTCAATAAACTTTTTGAACTTCCATTTCAAGGAACTGAAAGGCATGTTTCTAGCCAAAGAATAGAGTGACCCAGTGAGGGATGGAGGGAGGGGTGGGTGCAGCTGGGGTGGGGAGTGGGGAGACAGAAAGCGTACCAGTGGAAAAAATACAGAATTTTAGTTTTCTCAATATCTAGTCAAATCCTCCATGTATCGAGAGCTCTACAAGATGATCCCTAAGTAAATGAATCCCAGAAAATCCAAACCAAAGACAGACAAAAAAAAAAAATCAACCCAAAACTTCATGTCCTGAAATGTATTCTCTTATCCACTCCATTACCAAACAAACTAGCATTGCTGACAGGACAATGGTCTTTCAGGGGAAAGCCCAAAAGTAGGCCATTTCCCACTCTCGGCTTTTTGGGCAATGATTTGTTTTTCAATCCAAACAGCCAGTCCCTTGAGCTAATTTGTATTTTATCCTACACAACTGTAAATAAAATGACTGAAAAAGACTGTGAGAGGATGGAAGTACACTGTTAAAAAGTGCAAAAAAAAAAAAAAAAAAAGAGTGGCTTAAATTTGCAGTCCTTATAAACGTGGTCATTAACACAAATTTAGGCTTAAAGCCACGTTGTCCCACAGGCTTCTCAAACTAGCGAAGAATAAATTTGAAGAATGCTCTGTAAATCTCCCCTACAGCTTTTGATGAAATAGCCTGCTATCATCTACAGCAGGCTGACTTCTCTTACATTTAATTTATTTCATTCCTTCTACAAACAATGTGGTCAACTTGTCTTTACTCAGCAGTATTCTACCCGAGTACAGCCAAAAAATTAGGGCAAACTTCCAAAAAATTGTGGCTCCCTGGTTTTTAGTCTTGATTATTTATCCCTGGAAAAGGAAGAAAAACATAAAAATATGAAAAGTCACCTCCAGTTACTCTTATGCCTTATCTTTGTGTTCTAAAAACATGGAGAGAGGCAACAGTTCTAGAGGTATTTGGTTAACATGCTTCCGTTATATTATCTGGGAATATAATCTGAGCAGTAGCCATCCACAAAGACTAGCACAGAGCTAACGTAAAACAAACACAGCATAAAGCATCAGGCTTACTCAACTTTGTTAAATTCATAATCAGACACCTACTAATTTAGTATTCAATCACTGGATGCTCAAAGACCTCTCTCAATCTCTCCCCTTCCCGGACCCACACTGTTTTTCCGTGCGTCTTTTCTTCCAATCCCTTATTTAACAATGTCCCCACGATTCCTTCATTTGGCACCAGTTCCTAGAACGTCCTAAAAAAATATTACGAAAGGGACACCCCTATCCAAAAAAGTTCAGCCACACTCACCATCTTCAGCCTCTCCGAGGAACATTCCACCTTCAGCTTGGCGCTCAGGCCAAAATTCATATGGAAAATGCCTGCCTCACTGACCTTTCGGGCACAGCTAAAGACACTGAACAATAATGAACACCATTCCTGTGCTTTAAAAAGTGCGCGGTCGCCATGACAACCCCTTCCACTCTCGGGCTAATTAGTGTGGTGTGGCCGTAGGATTTCATACAGCCCAGGGAGGGAGGCAGGGAGGCAGGGGGCCACCAGGAGCGGCCGCTCTTTCCAGGCTCGCGGTGCAATTGTGTAGTAATTTAACCAGGAAGGGGGATCTCTAGGCAGATTGTTGCCATGGGCAACCCACACAGCAATCAGGAGATTGGGGGGGGCAGGCACGGTAAGCCTGTATTTCCATCCGTGCTTCTCTTTTTAGTTTCAACTTCCTTCTCTGGCGAATTTAATGTTCAACGATGACCCAGCTGGGGGCGGGACACGTCACAACTTAGAGGCATTTTCCTTCCCAAACTTCACCAGCGCACACTGGTCTTCACTGGGAACTAGTTTTCCAGAGCTGGAGTTTGCTCTGACAGAGACCGCCTAACGTTTTGATGGCAACAAATAACATGCACTTTGGAAGTAATGGCTATAAACCAGGGCTTTAAACACCTACTATATGCAAGGGTTCATGGTTCATGCTCAAGGAAGACTAAAAAAAAAAAAAGTGGGGCTAGATTTTTTTTTTCTTCCTTTAATCAACAACCCCCACCAGAGCGCTGCATTTGTTACAACTCATGAATCATCACAGCCTAGAGTCCATAGTTTACAGGGCTCCGAGGTCTTGCGCATTCGAAGGGTTTTGATGGATAATGACATACATCGACCATTAGAGGATCATAGAGAGTAGTTTCGCTGCCCTAAAATTCCTCTGGGCTCCACCTACTCATTTCTACCTCCCCCAACCCCTGGCAAGCACTAATCTTTTCATGGTTTCCTTAATTGTTTTTTTAACATTTAATTTTTTATTTATTTTTTTAAAGTTTTTTAAATTTATTTATTTGAGAGAGCGAGCGAGCATGAGCAGGGGGAAGGGTAGAGAGAGAAGCAGACTCCCCACTGAGACACTTAAGTTTTTGAAAAGCAGTTTAAGGTTCACAGCAACATTGAGAGGAAGGTCCAGACATTTCCCTTAGGCCCTTGCCGCCCCCATGCGTAGGCTCACAGGGGCTGCATTCCGTCTCCCAGGACCCTTCAACTTAGAAGGGTGTCAGGTATACCAACCAATCCTCATTCCTTACGTAGCAGAAAGCCGAATATAAAACCATATCAAACATTAAAATTAAGCTCCTCAGGAATGCGGAAGAAAGCAAAGTATGAGGAGGTACGGGGGACACATAATTTGAACCCAGGTCTGACCCAGAGTCAGGGCTCTAACAACTTCTATTCATTGCTGCAGGGGAAGGGGCGAATCACAGAGAATGCAGCACAAACAATAGCTAAGAGGCAGAACAAGAACCTGGGTGTCCAGCTGTTAGTCTGGGGCAGAAAGTGGGGTGCAGTGGACCTGGGCGGCTGTGCTTCCTGCATCCCAACTTTGATGGCAATTGTTTTCAAGATAAGGACCAACGGAGGCTTAGAGTAAGAGATGAATGCGGTCAGACCTGAAGTGTACAAGGATCCCTTTGTTGGCAGCGTCCAAACTGGAAACGAGACCAGAAGAACGGCCAGGGATATTTTGATATCAGGCACATCACGAAATATTATGCAGCCATTAAAAACGAGACCAAGTGAAAGATGGACCAGTAGACTCTCAGGCCTTTGGCAAGCTGAGAAAAGATGCAGGAAAGTATGTAAAACAATCTCATTTTTGTAAAACAATGACCTCACCAAAAAACCCCAAAGGAACAAAAATACCCCCCAAAAGAACAACAACAAAAAATCGACCCTGCCCTATTTACTGTATGTGCATGAATATGCAGGCATACCTCGTCTTATCACGCTTCCAAGATGCTGTGTTTTTCACAAATTGAAGGTCTGTGGCAAAGCTGTGTCAAGTCTGTTGGCACCATTTTCCCAACAGCATTTGCTCACTTTTGTCTCTGTGTCACGTTTTGGTAATTCTTGCAAAACTTCAAACTCTTTCATTGTCATCAGTGATTATGACCTGCTGTAAGCTCAAATGGTGCTGAGCATCTTTAAATTAAGATATGCACACCTTTTTTAAGACATAATGCTACTGCACACTTAATAGACTCCAGAATAACATAATGTTATATGCACTGGGAAACCAAAACATTCATCTGGCTTGCTTTTTGTGATACTCACTTTATTGCAGTGGTCTGCAAACAAACCCACAGTATCTCTGAGGTATTTCTGTCTAAATCTAGATACGTATGTGCAGAAAAGCACAGGAAGACTCAGGTTTAGTCCTTATTGGGATTGGAGGCGCTGTTATGGACGCTGGGAAGAAAAGTTGCTAGGAAAAAAGGGAATGAAAAAATTAGGCTGCACTGAACGAAGGAGATAATCACGTATATACAATATGACTATTTTTCTACATGGCTATATGTCTTTGAAGATGTTTAATAAATAACATTTTTTTACAAGGTAAAAAAAACCCAGATATCGAGTGGATTCTAGAGGTCCTGCATGGAATAGAGTGAAAAAGGGAAAGAGAAGCAAGGAGACCAAGTGTGAAGCTACTGGAAGAATACTTTAAAGTAGAAACAACCTAAATGTCCACCAACAGATGAATGCATGGGGGTGCCCAGATGGCTCAGTTGGTAGACCATGTGACTCTTGATCTCGGGGTCATGAATTTGAGCCCCACATTGGGTGCAGATTGCTTTAAAAAAAATGAAAACAAAACAAAAACCCCAAATGAATGTATAAACAAAATATAGTTTATCTATTCACACAATGGAGTATTATTTGGTCCTAAAAAGGAATGAAGCACTAATACACACTATATGAACCCTTAGAACATTTTCCTAAGTGAAAGAAGCCCGTCACAAAAAATCACGTGCATATTATAGGATTCCATCCACATGAAATGTCCAGAAAGGGAACTCTGCAGACACAGAGTCGTGGCCGCCTAGGGTTGGTGGAAGCAGTGGGGGTAGGTATGTGTCGGGGGGGGGGGGCGGGGCGGGCAGGCCAACGGTAGGGGGTTTCTTTGTGAGCTGATGAAAAAGTTCTAAAACTTACAGTGGTGATGGGTGCACTTTATCTGTGAACATACAAAAACCCGCCAAATTGTACAGTTCAAATGGGTCAACTGTATGGTATGTGGATTCTATCTAAATAAAGCCAGTTTTTTAAAGTATTTTAAACGCCACACAAGACATGGAGGCATTTAAAATGGACAAGCAGTGGGGCGCCTGGGTGGCGCAGTCAGTTAAGCGTCCCACTCTTGGTTTCGGGTCAGGTCTGATCTCAGGGTCGTGGGATCCAGACCTGGGTCAGGCTCCGCACTCAGCGCCGCGTCTGCTTGAGATTCTCTCTCCCTCTTGCCCCTCCTGCACGTGCTCGCTCTAAAATAAATACGTACATCTTAAAAAATAAATAAAAAATTAAAAAATAAAATGGACAAGCAGCAATGGATGTGAGGGAAAGTCTTCATCCAGGAGACAGGATTGAATGTATTTGTTTCAGGTAATTCAATTCTAAAATAATAATAATAATAATAATAATGAGGAAAACTATTTTCCCCTACCATTTTAAAAAGATTTCAGAATGCCTAGACAAAACAAATGACTGAGAACATGCTAAGACCTCCCCCCAAAATCCAGTTACGAGCAAGCCCTACCTTCTGCAGCTTCAAATCTAAATAAAGGGCAAGAGAGGTGCTGATAAACAGGGACCCAGGACAGGGGAGACGCTTCACAATCAGAGACAGAAATAAATGCATTTATGTATTAATGAATCTGATTACCCCGAACATTACCTAGCCTTTCATAATCTCATAAATACTGCATAAAGATAATAAGAAGGGTGTCAGAGAATTTGGAAATAGCCACCTGTCTACAGTACGAGGACATTCAATCTGTGCTTACTTAAGAAAATAGAGCGAGTTCATTATCGATGGACCCTCAAAGTTCTCGTGCTTCTCAGCATTTGAGAGAGACTTCAGAAACCAGGCAAGGAGGCCTGGGAACTCAGGAAGAGTGGGAATCTGGCTTGCCACGCAGAGGTCCACGGGGTTTGGTGCGGGGCTAGCCAGGACTTCAGGGAGAAGGTACTTCTCTACTCTGACTGGGTGGGTGAGAAGGGCAGATGATTCCATCTTGTAGAAGAGGAAACTGGAAGTTCCTTCCATAGACTGAGAGCAACCTTCCAGGTTACAGCATGAAATGCCCGTTTCTGTTTGGACCCAACAAACAACTGGGTCCAAACTGGAGATTGGCTCCAATCTGCTTAGAATGCAACATGACAGCAAGCCGTAGGCCTGACAATCCAGGTCCTCGGAGCACAGGAAAACCAAACATGAGATCTGAATATTTTACCGACAAGTACCTTCCTTACTGCCCTTAGTAGCTTAACAGAAAAAAATTTTTAACTTTCTATCTCACAAGACTTAATCTCCCACCTCTTTGGTAGACTGTTTCTCAAAGTGAGTAGTATAACATTCTAAAATTAAAGGGTCCTATTTCTTCCTCATATTTTTAAATGGATCCTGACCTACTTTTCCATGTGAAGTACATTCACCTTTATTTACATACATATTAGGTCTGCAACTGAGGGACTTATTTCATAGTCCATATTATGTTGGATTAGTCCCTGGCATCCTAAGAAATATAAAACAAGCTAATTATTTAATAAAAAGAACCCTTACATGATTCTTTATTTTGGTAAGCAAATATTCCGGAGTCGGGAAGAAGCACTGCAACTAACCTTACAGAGAGGATTGAATATCTTAGGTGTATTTGTATTTGCATTACCATTACCGGATATACCTTTACTCTATTCACCTTTAAACATAAACCTCACCTCTGATAACCCTTCTTCAACTACAGAAAATCAAAGATTCCAGAAAGGCTTATCCAAAGTCAATTATGTTACACTAATAAACTATCATTCCCAGCCCTGTAATGACTGAGAAAGTCTTACAATGGGACGCCTATCCTCACCTTACTAATTAACCAAAAAAATTAATTAAA